ATAAATAAATGTGGGTAGAGTCTACCTTGGCATTAAGTGCTCAATGCTGTAGTAGCACTGCTAAGCTAATTAAGTATACCTTTAGAGGACACATTGATTCTCTGTAACTCTGAGTTTTGTGCCTAAGCACTCATCAGAAATATATATATATATATATAATAGAAATTCAACTAAATCAGCAGTTGGCTATCTCAAAATCAACAGTTTAGATCAGAAACCTTAAATGCGTGAGAAATGTGATTATCATAATAGTTTCAGTGCAATAAATTTGAATTTGTTTGCGATTAACAGACGTCCCAAAATCAATGCATGAGGCTGGAGAGCTCTGGCTTAACTGACAACACTCACCTTTCAAACAGTTCACCTCCTTCAACAAACTCAAGGACCATGTAAATATGTGATGGCGTTTCAAAGATCTCGTGTAACTGAATCTAAAAATAAAAAAATGTTACTCCACTTTATTTAAAATCACCAAAATATTTACAAACGTTTGATAAAAACCCTAAAAATCAAAAAACACATTAAAATGTCCATCAGAAGCTAAGAAAAACACACCTCGTCTATGTTTACTTCTCGAGCTTTTCGATAATAATAAAGATGATAATAATGATAATAAAAATGATTATAGTGATAACGATGATAACAGTAATTTTAAGTCTCTTGACAAAGGAAATGCAAAGTCTTCAAAAGTTCAATGCAAAAGAATAAGAAAAATTTACTATAAAAATAATAAAAATAATCTATAACTGATGAGTTTAATTATAATAAATCATAATTATAGTAGTAGAATTGTAAATGACCTCTTAAATACTCATAATCTTGTTGAACCTATACAACCAATAAATGTATTTCTTACCAATATTTAATTAGTGCAAGAGTAAAATATACTTACAATATTGCAGTGCTGTTTCATGTGTAAGAGGATGTCAATTTCAGTAGCAATTATTTTTTGATCAACCTAATAAAATTGAAAAAAATAAAATCAGGATTCCCAACTTCACATTCTTACAAAGTCACTACCTGAAAACCTTAAAACATAGCATGGTTGCCCAGAGTAACATTTCGGTTGTCAGATAAGAAAATACCCTTCTGGAAAATTTATATAACTTACTTAACCACTTATCATGTAGCAATTGTCTTTGAAGTAAATAATCGGATCCGCTCTCTGGCTTACATTCATTTTTTGAGAATTTGCACGCAATATCTCAGGGCATAGTGCTATGGTAGCCCAGGTGAATTAAAGAGGCAAACTTTTACCAAAGGTAAATAGCAAAACATGAGTAATATTTCATGTTTATCTCACCTTGCCTTCAGACCATCAAACCAAGTTCTGAAGACAATTTCAGCATATATTTCTAATTGACCACTGCGTGAGCACAGGTCACCATTAGTAACTTACAATGCACGCTATAAATTTGGTTGCCAAATTTCTTTCATTGCTATGGTGACCAAAACAGTCGCAGTAATAAATTAAACAAAAACATACAATTATATGCAGCAAAGAGGTGTAGCTGGTATCAGAATGGTTCACAAAGTACTTGAGTCTTTGCCTTGTGGTTACTTTTATAACGACAGAAAATTCTCATTGTGCAAACTTTGAAACTTATGAAACACCCTTAATTTCCTGTTCCTTCATATCCTAATTAAAAACGTTTGACAAGATGGACATGTGACTGTCTAGCAATCTAAACATGGTCCTTGAAAATGACTCTATGCAATAAACATTAAAAGTCATTAAATTAAAATGAAATGTTGTATTTGCAATGAAACAAAACAAAAACAAACAAAGTGATTTTGAAGATTAAAGGACATTTATCAATTAACGGTATAAATAATTATCTATAAATATCCATTCCAATTATCCACAAAAACATGATTAATTGAGATAACTGCCAACATCCTGTAATAAATATGACATGAAAACCATCTGTGGTTTAGGTAGTATTTACATGAACCCCTAATCCCATAAAAACAGACATATTTAAAACAGAGATATCTAATAATGTTCTGTAATTAATATGTCTGGGTACAAAGTTCTGCCAAAGGTTTCATGCTTTGTATCAACAAAAGCTTCTCAAAATGAAAAGAAAAGATGAAATGCTGTCATTATTTGTACAGCTACAATCATGCACAGACCACCTGTAAGAAGCTGAAACAGAGCCACCAAATAAGTCTAAGCAATGTAAGAAATTGTAGTTGCCTGACTCAGAACTACAGGAGTGATTCACACCCAACAAACAGTGGGTTAAGCTTCTGACTCTTGGATTTTTTCCAACTACTGCATTCATAGCCAAGTTTTTTTTAATTAAACTTCTCAGAAAAGCATTCAAAAAATTAAAATAAAATATTTTTACAACCAAAAACTAGTTTTTAGCCTAGCACATTTCTTTCCAAAGGAGAAAAACAAAGTCATCTACAATGATGAGAACCACAGAGAGACCTTAATTCTGGCCTTTGGTTGCTGAATAACATGAATGGCACAAATTGATCTATGGATATTGAAACCTTACTACCTATTTTAATTACTTATTTTTCCTATGCTAGAGGTCTCTCTTCAGTTAGATAACATCTCTAGTTACCTGTTGGTTATCTGGCAGTTTTGGTGTTCACATACACATCAAACATGTCCACATACACATCAAACATGTCCAATGTCCGCAACCACTGCCTCTACGCAATTCAGGTTAACTAAGTTTAGTTCCCTTTTTGAAAAACTTTCCACTCAAATCTCAGCACTCAACATAAGCTTCGAAAGCCTTGGATTTCAAATTCACCAACTACCTCATCATTACTTCACCCTGCTAGTCTCTGGAGAGATGTTCAGGAGGTTTCTCCTAGCTTGCAACGTTAACACTTTTTCACACAAAAAGGTGATGTAAAGAAAGAAAAATATCAACTGATGGATGCTGTTTAATTTTCCACCAGATTCTTAATGTTAAAACTATGAAAGAAGTATGACAGGCAGTGCAAATAATTAATAGTTAGATCTGAGGAATGAAAGAGTTAAAATGTTGATTTAACAAAAAAATTCGATTTTTTTATAGGAAAGAGAACGAGTTCAGTAAGAAATTAATAATTAATAATTTAGTTTTACTTACGAGTAAATATACTTCGAATTCCCACTATTGTCCATCATGAGTTCAAGCAGTTTGCAAAGAAAGCTAAACAAATATATCTCCTTTTCATGCCATGAACAATAGCTTGGAAATTAAACCTTTGCAGTGCATAATACTAAGGCACAGTAGATGTAAATAAAGGTTGAGCATAAATATTCACGAATTATTCATCTCGTTTTTGTCAAATTCTTGAACAGACAGGATTACTCAAACCCTTACTTGGTTAACCAGGAGTTTTCAATAGAGCTCACCATTAAAGTGTTGATTTCTCACTTGTAAAAAAGAAAAAAGAGATCACATTCTATGTTAAGAATTCAATAAGTCCCTTTGATCAACCACCATGCATTTCTATAATATTGGCCTCGTCAAAAGGGATCATGTACAAAATCTGTATTGCTCCAGCTAATTTTGTTTATCTGTGACATTGCTTCACCTCCGAAAATATTTAGTCTGGCACGGCTAAAGAAGTAAATCTCGTAGATCTGGTATTTTAATTAAACTGTATGAATCGAGGACTTCTTCAAGAAGAACGGTGACAAGAAAAATTACAAATTCCCTCTGTAAACTCCTTTGATCGCATACGGTGTTGATGACGTGAGAACGATCATTAAAATATTTCAACAAGTGCCGGCGTTTGAACTATTCAAGAAGCAAATGTACTTAAGATTGTTAATGCATTCAACTGGTGAATAATAACGAGCTTAAATACAGCAATGAGTGTAGCAACTTCAGAGTCGCTCCTAGGATGATGTTTACAACTAAACCACACGCATGAATGAAACGATGGGCGTTCTTTTTCTACGGCGCTTTCATTTTTAAGACCAAAGATCAATCGATTTTCTTTTTTCCACCACAACTAATCAGTATATACTTGTCTCAACGTGTTTAGTCTAGCATTTTCTCCTTAGCGTCGATATCGGAAAAAAGATACAGTGTATAATTTATACATTAAAAGTTACTAAATAAATGGAAATTTACTGTTATGTTTCGCAAAAAAAGGGCAAAATTTATACCTTTAAAGCGAATCTAGATACACTTTGCAGAAATCTAAGGAGCTTAAAAGGCTTACTTAAGCACCTGTAGGATACTTTCTGTGACGAAAGTGTGCAACTTTATAAATAAAGAACCACAATGACATGGCAACTAACTCGCCCTAACTACCGCGTTCCCCGCTGTTGAACCCTTTGACAGACAAATTTGCAAATGCAGCTTTACATACACAAACTCAGCGAGATGCCGAACCCTACCGAAAAAAAATTCATCGCTGTACAGTCCTTCAGCTGTGCAAAATAAAAAAACTAAAACTTTGGGATTCACTTACTGTTCTGGTTATTATCTTAATAGCGTACTCATTGTTGGTTCCCTTGTGCCGGCCTTTCTTTACCACAGACGAGGCTCCTCTGAAATTCAAAACAAAACAAAAATGAGCTTTTGTAGACCTGATCGATCGACGAGAGCACACATGCCGAATGTTGCTATAGTTTCTTACAATGGACGAACACATGCGCCAAGGACACTGTCAAAGCGAATTACTGCAAAAGCGAAGGCAATAGTTCAACGAAACAAAACACCGCACAAGCGATTCGACGAACCTTCCAAGTTCTCCGTCTTCGATGGTATAATAGTCATTAATGTCTCCCTTTCTGGAGTTTTTGAACAAGGTCTTCGCCATGTCTGAGTGCCTGTTGGGCTCTAGCGGTGCGGATCCCAGCCACGGATAAAGCTCGCCTACTGTCTATCGACTTTCACTGAAGGGCGAACTATTTGGAATAAATTAACGATTAACCAACATCTTCAGCTGCCACAAATTGATGAAAAGATTTAATGACGTCACAGCTCTTTCCGGGGGGTTCGCTATGATCTGTTCCTGGAACATTAATTCGCAGCAGCGATAAATCTAATTATGCTATCTATTTCTCATTTTTGATATTGTTCTAGTTTCATATTTCTCCAGATGCTAATGGCCTCTTTGTCGCTCTTAATTGTCGATTCAATTTTGGACTTTTTTCGTCTTTGCAATTTTTTAAATTCATTTCTCTGCAATTTTATTTTTTAGAGAAACAACATTTTATCGGTATGGACGTTGAAAGTTTTGCCCACGACGAATTTTTGTGTTTTGGTTGGTTTCTTAAAAGTAATTAACGGGAGTGCGAAAATATTTATTCAAACATCGGGTTACAAAAGTTAATAATGTAATGGAAACACAACAAAGAAGGAAATGAGCACCTAAACCTGTTTGAGTCCTTCCACCCTCTGTGTTAGCTCCACATGCATTCTTCGCGAAAGCTGAGAAAAGGAAAAACAACATCAAACATGTCCAAATATGCGGACGAAATTTATTGAACTAGATCGCTTCCAAACCTTCTCTATTTATCCAAAGAGATCATTTGCATTTCATGCAGACCTATCTGTCGCCATTATGCATATTAATTGCTAGATATGGATTAAAAAACTGCGCTCAATATTTTTCCGGAAGCGTAGCCCTTCCTGGTTGTGTAGTCATTGATTGTATTCTTTTTTGCCGGAAATTTGTCAGCACATCCAGGGTTGGCTTGTCCCGATTTTCGGTTTTAGCAACCTCGAGCAAATTAGCCTTTTCTGAGCACATATTAAGCGCGAAAAAATTCACGATTTCATTAAAAAAAAACCCTTTAAATTATGCAAATTTCTTAAGTAGTTAGCCGTGACCTTACACATGAACACAAATGAACCATGTGTTTTGTTCCGTTAGACTTAAAAGTATCCTTAAATTTCGCCCATATTTGCGAGCAACTCTTTGAAGCTTCGTGTAAGATCACTTTTACTCGACTTTGGATCAAAAATTTCTCTCACTCCTGTTGTGGAGTGTTCGTGGATATGTTGAAATTTCGAAGCTCCCACCAGAGCTCCGCGAGTAGAATCCTTGTGGGGCACAGTGAAGAAAAGGGAAACTGGGCACTAAAAAGAGGTGAGATTGAAGATGATTGAAGCAAATGTGGAATGGGGCGTTGAGGTTTGTTTCATGGTTTCTTTTTAATTTAAATGATTTGTCATTGACTCGTATTGCTTGATACAATGGATGACACTCTGAGTCAGTTCATCGCTCAGACTGGGACAGATCCTAGCTTGGCAAGAGACTTACTGGAGAGTACAAATTGGAATGTTGACGAAGCGCTCTCAGCTTTTGAAGCGCTTTCGCTTGGCTGTTCAACGACGCCAAGCGAAGGACATTGTGGCGATAATAATCAAATTACGAGTGGAAAAGCCAAACGGGGGTTGTCGATGGTCAATGCTGACATCGTTGGAGAAGCTAGGTATAAAGTGATGGAGGATAAGGTGCCAGGTACAAATGAGAGATACGAAAGATTTGGAGAAATGTCCGATTTCACATTCGTTTTACCAGATTTAAACAACTTCCCTGAAGAATTAAGCGAGTTCCTCCGAACAGATCTAATTGAAACCTCGGCTTTAGTCGCTTTGGAGCAAGCAGGTAAACTGGAATTCTGACTTTTTGCCTTTATTTTCTGCAAATAATGTAAAACTTACCAATTGTTCGTGTAGGTAGCGCAGATGTAAACAGTAAGGCATATAGGCTTATTAATTAAATTTACATCCTGGTAAATAATTTCATTCCAACACATTTGTAAGTTTTGTAAAGCTTGTAAAAGCCTGTTTCCATTCTCGCTTATTTTTATTTTAAGTTGCGAGTCGAAAGCTCAGCTGATGTCGTAAGAATTTGATGCCTTTCATTTCCAAAGGGAAAGCTCCCCGCATCATTTTTTCCAGCTGCACAACTCGTCATGGGAGTCCACTCGTGAATGGGACGAGGTTACTCCTGACGGGTAAAGATAATTTACGAGTAAACAACTACAAAATATCTTTTGATTGTCCAGTTTAAGGCTTCTGACTCATGGTAGCTGAGTCAGAAGTAAGTTTTTCAAGACATCAAACAATGCTCTCTTCAGGTGACCTTAACACTCTTAGTTCCTGTCTGCATTGCAATTCTAATGATGTTAGTGTGGGGAATTCGGTATTGGATCAACTTAACCCTGATTGATGTTTTTCTTTATTCTCATTACTTGTCTGCTTGATTTGGTACTGATATTGTAAGGAGAAATTCTGTCTTGGTCACTCATGAATGGGAGTGAAATGGTTGGAAAGTTGTAGAAGTGCCCTTTGCATACACCTTGTTCAGGAGTATAGTATGATGAGAGTCCTCAACATCATCTTTTCTCCTTTTATGTTCTATCCTCTTAAAGCTCTTTCAATGATATCATAACCTTCCAGTGAAATCTCTGTTTCAAACTCTCATCCTCATGCAGAATACATCTCAAAGTCTTTCACTGTTGTTTGTGTTATTAGTGTGAAATTTCTTGCTATGGCACTTTCTTTCTCTTTGTGCTTGGTTTTTTTTTTTGTTCAATTTTTTTTCTTATCCTTCATGAGCAACTTTTCATCTGGGAATTTTTCAATAGTCTTCTCAGTAGGTGATGTGATACAACAGGTGCCATAAGACACAACATGGTAAATGACATTTTCGTGGTACATCATCCTGCAGTAAATCACCATTGGGCCTTAGTTAATTGAATCAACCAGCAGAAATGTGCAATCCACAATGAACCAAGGTTATGCATACTTTGTTTACTGACCATTTTCCACCTCTCTTTAGGACGGCTGAACTGGTGGGCTGATTCAGGGTTTAGTCAGCGTCTTTTGCCCCTGGCAACAGTGGGAGATGGCAATTGTTTGTTACATGCAGCATCTCTCGGAATGTGGGGATTCCAAGATCGTCTCCTCACCTTGCGCAAGGCCTTATACGATACACTTACAAGTCACTTGGCCAAAGGAGCTATAAAACGCCGTTGGAGATTTCAACAGTGGGAAAAAAATAAGGAGGCTGGTGGACTACTCTACTCAGAACAAGAGTGGGAGAATGAATGGCAAGAAGTGTTGCGCGTAGCCTCTACACAGCGTCGACTGGATCATCAGCAAAAGGCAGCTACAGAGTGCAAAAAAGGAGGGGAGACTGTCCCAACTTTAGCCAGTATAGCTGAGAAGGAAATTGAGGATACACCTGACTCTGCCACGACAACAGATGCTGAGAGTATGGATGATCCATCAAAAGCAGAACAAGAAGGAAATGTTAAAGAGAACACTGAAGATCAGAGTGAGTCACCTGCACCGGATGGTTCAAAAGACAAAATAACTGAAGAAACTGAGATAGGAGCATTTGAAAGCTTAGAGGACATTCATGTGTTTGTTCTGGCGCAGGTTCTGAGGCGTCCAATAATAATCATAGCTGACCAGTTTTTGTATGGATTTGGAGGTGAACCTATTGCACCCATTCCCTTTGGAGGGGTATATCTTCCACTGGAGTGTGATCCAAGTGTATGCTTTAAAAGTCCATTGGTGCTAGCCTTTGATTCAGCACACTTTTCTCCTTTAGTGCCTTCAGAGGAAAAGAAGGACTCCAAGAGTAACTCTGTGAAAGCCTCTGTACCTCTGGTAGGACCAAACTATGATTTACTGCCACTGCAGTTTTCCATGGATCCAGGGGAAGATTTTGTTTGGAGTGACCTGGATGGGGACTCGAGTGTGGCAGAGAATTTTGCATTGAGCATGGATAAAAAGCTGGAACTTTTAAAGAAATATCTACATGTGGAAATAATAAAAATTCCTTGCACAAGCAAGAAAGACACTTCTGAAAACAGCAAGGTGGCTACCAAAGGAGAGAAAGGAGCAGAACCTTCAGGGAGTATTGCTGATAGTGAAACAAAAGCAGAGAAAAACTTGCCATCAAAATCTGCAGAAAAGAAATCTTGGATTGCTACACAAATCATGAAAGTGGGTGTTATGGCAGGTGTAGTAGGAAGCGTTGTCCACAACAATCTCTACGTAGCAAAACTACAGACTGACAAGAAACCACATTACTATGAAAAAATGATTGAAAATTATATTGAATCAGCAAAACTCCGATTTGAAGAAGAGAAGAAATGCCAGGCAAAAGCTGCCAAAAGTTCCTCAGACTCAGGAGAGAAACCTCAACCTTGTATCAACCCTGGATGTCAACTGTACGGAACTTCTGCTACAAATTACCTTTGCTCTGGTTGTTTCAAAACTCAGAAATCCTATAGTGAGAGTGGTCGGTATCTTGAAAGCTCCGCATCAAACAGATCAGCTGTCTCAAATTACAGCAGCAGTGGAATATCAAGTTACTTACCACCTCCTTCGTACTCTGCATATGTTCCTTATGGATATTTTGGTGGCAACAACATGAGAACTCAAAGTTACAACACTCCTTCCACTGATCAGCTGCCTTCTTATAATCATGATGCAATGAAACTTATTGGAGGTAAAGCACCAGCATCTACTTTGCCATCTGGTTCAGTTGTCAACCTTGAACCAACTAGTGGACAAAGTGACAGCACCGCAGGTCAGACGGTTATAAAGTGTTCCTTTAAGGACTGCCAGTTTTATGGCAGTCCAGAAAAGAAGGGATTTTGTTCTGCTTGCTACAAAACATATCAAAAGTCATTGAAATATATGGTAGAAGAACTTGAGGACACAAAATCTAAGATTGTCTGAAATGAGTTTTTTTTTTAATGTGGTCCAAAGGAAAGGCAGGGCTCAACATTAACAGTAGCCAACTAGCTACAGCCGGACTAGTAGAATTTCAGTTTTGGCTTGTGGTTTTCAGTTTCCACCAGCCAGTTTGGCTAGTAAACAAAGTGAAGTTGTTGTAACATTTAAGTTGTCACTAGCAACTTGGCTAGTAGGTTGAGAAGATAGTGTCAAGCCCTGGAAAGGTAAACTTAATTGGTACCACATTTATCACCTAATAAATTCTGAGAGTTTATGTGACACTTAATTTTTAGTTATGTGTTTAAACATACCTCTTACTTACTGAGTTTGAGCTCTGTTCTGGAAGTTATGGACTGAGTTTTTGTCATAGATTGGAGCGGAAAAATTGAAGTTCCATAACTTACAGTATCCAAGTGTTTCAAAGCAGGTTGCTCTTCAAACACTGCCTGGAAATAACTCAATTTATGAAGGAGTGCGCATAGCATCTTGCAAATTATTAGATATAGAAGTGTGAGAAGTAGCCATTTTTTTTTTCTTTTCGAAGAGTGTCTCTCACTCACTATGATTTTTATCTAAATGTTTACAAAAAATAATTAATATAAGAATCTGAATGTTTAATGTTGTCATTTAGGAAAGAATATCTAGTAGAATATTTAAAAATTATTTTACTGTTAAGTTATTTATATTTAAACCAAAAGGGTTGCAAAAACCTTGTTGTTTGCTTTATGGTACAAATTTTCATGAATTTGTTTATTTGATTCTTCAGAGTTTCAGAATAGAAGTGATAAACTTTCTTCAATTTTAAAATAATTATGGTCTAGTTTTGAAAACACTTTTATTGTTAATATTCCTTGTTATTTTAGAATATTGCCTTTTTATTGAGAAAAAAATTAATGAATGACACCAAGACGAATTAATTCACATTGCCATTGTAAGAGTGAATTCCAAGCATGTGGGCCAGCATTTTTATTGTTCTTACTATTTTTTAATCTCCGTTGTCTTTCATGCTATAGATAGCTTTAGAAATATAGCCTCGATTTTAAGTGATGTGAACCTCTCAGGAACTTAAAACAAAAAACAAAGGTCTATGATTGTTTGGACAGAAGTTAAACTGAGGATATATATTTAGAGATAAGTTGGACTAGACTGCCTTGATATTAATTAGGTATCATTTGAGCCATAAGCTGCTCTTTCAATTGGTTTACTGGCATAATAACCTACGCGGGATGTTGGTAGAAACGAGAAAGTTTGTAAATCACGAGCCAAACTTTACGAATGTTCTCTCAACTTCCAAAGTTGGTTGTTACACTGGTACAGTGATAGAAAAAATGGTCTATTGCTTTTATTAAAGGTGGAATAAATGACAGATTTTTGATCAACTAGGGCCCTCCTAGTATCTCGTAGTGATTTCATAAATGCCGATAATGTGGCTGCTATTGATGTACTTGCAAGACAACTGACTCAAAATTAATTACCCAATATGGGTTATTTCTTTGCAATAGGAATTTGAGTGTTAATTGTTATTAGGCCTAATCCCTCAACTCCTGTCTCATCTGGATGTGTTATCAGATAGAAAACAAAAGTTCTGATATCGCGTTTGTCGAAAGTGACATTGGTGTCGTCACGCGTGCTGTAGCACTTATAGAGAGTGCGTTGTGTGACAAAACCAACTGTGGCTGCGAATTAAACTGGGACTAGCGTGACATTTGTCACGAAAGATGTTGGCTCCAAAATTCCACTGCTGAGAACTAAAAATAGGAATCATTCTCCTCCTGAAGCGCAAAGCAAAGAAATGGTGCTTAGGAAGCTTGAACGGTTCTGTTCAACGGTCGTCGACGCTACTTGCCTATTCATCTGAGAAAAGCTGACAAAATCCGTTCATTGGATTTGCATGGATAAGCTGTCGCGACATTGTGTATCCTCAGCGTTAATTTGTCAGTGACCGGAGACGGCAGGTTGGTCATTTCGATTTGTAAGACACGAAATTGACTTCTGCCGGATGATAAGTCCTGGTTCAGTGGCTCGATCAGCCCTTAGTTTAGTAAAAATCGATTTTAACTTCCGTGTAGACCTAGCCTGCAGTACCAGCGTATTTTGGGCGCACGAGTGCATATTTTCGTATTAGGCCGCCATCTTAGATTTGATAACTGTGGAGGATCGGGGAAATTGGGGGAATTTTTTCCTTCCCCTCCTTCTCCCCCGTTGTCCATTTTTCCACTTAACACCTACTTCCTCTGCAAATATTTCCTCGCCCCAATCCTCCACAGTTACCAAATCTAAGATGGCGGCTTAATACGAAAATGTGCACTCGTGCGCCCAAAATACGCCGGCACTGCAGGCTAGTATAGACCACTTTCATAAATGGCTGCTGGATTAATATTCTTTTGTTTAAATTCAAATTTGCCTAGGTGGCCTCGTTCTCCAGTACAAAATTCATAAGAATACATTATCTCAAGCGAGACCACCCAGACAAATTTAAATTTAAACAAAAGAATATTAATCCGGCAGCCATTTATGAAAGTGGTCTATCGTTACCTTCGGAAACACCATCGAATCGACACGAACGGATGTTTACTTAACCGAACTCGGACCAAATAAACCCTAAACCCATTTGAAAAATCGTACGCCTAAGGCAATCATGGAGACAGTTAGCCCACGCATGGAATCGGAAGGGGTTGCATCGCTATCAGTCATCTGCCAAATACAGCCTCCTTTAAACCCGGCCATTACGGCGTTACCGGTCTACCATAATTTACCCGATTTAGTTTGTGGGGTGCCATTACCGCCAATATTCAGCTACTGTTCTTTATAAAATGGTGCTTAAGATATGAAGGCAATTCAGTGTTTTATGCAGCTGATCATTTTATAAAATGGAGCCTTAAGAAATATGGAGCGCTTTTTATGAAGCCTTTCAGTTTTTATGCAGCTAATAATTTTATAAAATGATTAGCTGCACAAAACAATTGGCTTCATAAAAAGCGCTCCATCTTTTTTAAGGCACCATTTTATAAAATGATTAGCTGCATGAAACATGATTGGCTTCATATCTTAAGCACCATTTTATAAAAAAAAACAGTAGCTGAATATTGGCGGTAATAGCACCCCATAATTCAGAGCCACCCTAAATTGTATAAATTACGACCAATACCCAGCCCCCTCCCTCTCTACGTAAGAAGGCGTGATAGTGCCAAATATCCTCTAACGGGACGATTCCCGACAAAATTCTTTTTACTTCTAACTTGAGCTGAAATTTAAAAATAGCAAAACACTCTGAACTATTTTAGACCTTCTCATTTGCTTGTCGCGAGAGCTGCTAGCTGACAGTCTTTCGAGGACGGAAGTGGATTTGTTAAATAAAACTGAGCCACCCCCAAAAAAGTGACGTGATGTAACAGCAAAAAGTTGTGGATTTCTTATCGCAGACAGAAGCAACTACCCCCATAATTTTCCATTATTTCTTAGGCTTGATAGGTATTGCCTTTTATTTACTTTTCGTGGGCGTGTAGCTGAAATTATATCAACACAACTGCCTCACAATCTAAAGAGACCACCCCCGTTGTAGAGAAAATTTAAAACTTCCCTTTTCAAAAAATAAAGTGACATTTCGGTTGGATTATGAGCTGGTTTACTTTATAATTATCACAGAATACTTACCTTGTATTTAATTACTTTTCGAGGCGGGTAGCTTTAATGATTCAAGAACAACATGTCTGCACGGAAAGGAAGACCACCCCCGCAAAAGAGAAACTTTAAGGTTTTTGTTTTCGAAAAATGAAGTTAAATTTGGGTCGGATCACGCACGTACTGTTTTAATTAAATATACACACTTATATCTGAATGCACTGGTGAATTTTGAATTTTTTTTTTGGCACTTAGTTTTGGAGTACCGTGGTGAGAGATGTGCTTGGAATTTTATCATAACTGTTTCAGGCAAATAAAAGAGAAACGGACACCTTTTAATTACTTAGATCAAAAGCGTTTATCAAAAAAACACGAAAGGATGAAAATACATCAATAACACGTACTCATTCTTAATGTTAGGACTGTTGAATGAAAGGCAGCTGCAGGTTTGATCTAGAATCATGATTATTTTCAAAATACTTGTTACAAACTGGTAACAGAATAGCTTAAGATTGCGAAATTAAATGTAAGATTTTTGCTGTGTAATCGACGTGGTTTCATGCACTCACGATCGAATGAAATGAAGGCATCGGAGCGGCAGAAAGTTTTCTTAATTCTCTTGCGGCTTTCGTCACAAATGGCTCTCAATGAATTCCCTTAAAAGTACCAGTTATGGAGACAGCTGTTTAGGAGACAAAACTTTGTATCCTTGAGATCTTTCGAGATCCTCACACTAATATCTAACTAAATGGCGAAGAATATTATAGCTATTTATCTGAGATTCGAAAACGTTAAATGGATAAAATAAAACAATGAAAATAATATCAATTTTTTTTCTAGGTAACGGTGTCAAAACCTTAGGTCTGAAGGAAGATATTGTTGGAAAGGCCTCTCGGAATCTGTAGCTGCTACAACTGAATTCAAATTATTTATGCCACATGAAGCGAATTTGCATAGAGGAAACCTCGAAGTTTATAATTACCAAGCCGGAAATTACTAATTTGTCAATAATTCTAGCAGTGAACTGGTGGCCTACTCACACGACAAAATTTCACCACTTAACGGCTAAAAAAAACTTGTTGCAGAAATATTTTATCATTAAGACAATTATCAACTAAGCTAAGCTTTTTTCTCTTGACCAGGACTGAGTCTGCTTGGAAAAGGAGGCAATGAATGAAGGTTGATAAACTGTTGAAGCGAATATTCGCAGATTTGGACCTCCGTTTGAGCTTGCCTGCAAGCAAGCTCGCAAGACAAAGGGTTTCTCCACCCGTGGGATCGAGGAAAAAGACGAGTCGGTGAGAGGTTTGCCAGGGTTCTGGAACCATTGAAGGCCTCTTGCCAGTCCGCATTATATTCTCTGCGGGCGAAGAAACGTTTGAAGCAAAATAGAAGATTGAATTGTAATGGTCGTGCAGGCGAGATGTGTGTTCATTCACTTTCTTCTCCACGCAACACAGCAGTTCCGTTATAAGTTATGAATTTATGACTTTTAAAAGAAAATCGCCTGATTCTTACCGTGCATTCAGGAGATAAAAAACTTTTCCATTTGAACAAGTAGAGCGTAAATTGGACCCCACGTAGCGATATCACTGCGATAAAAACCCCACCAAGTTTATAACAACAGGCGATGATTCACCCTTATTTACGAAAGTCATAGATTTCTAATTAGTACATACCAGTGTCGTCCATTGTTTTTTTCATTTTCTAATTTTACTTTTTAAATTGCTATGGAATTCACCAGGTCATGGAAACGTCTTCCCTAAAGCTTTTACAGGTTCAAAATCGCAACTATGACTGGTAGAATTCATAATTATTGAAAAGTTGTTCTAACGTAATCGATAGTAGAATATAATGAAACATTCACATGTTTTGAAATAAGAGAGCATTCATTCCCTGTAGCTAATATTAGCCGTCATAATAGTCACTTAGAGGCTTGAAATTGTTACGCGTTCCACAAGAAGTAGTATTGTGCATGTTTATCTACCCCTAATAGTCCTTGTATCGAAAGGGGAATGGAACTCGTTGAGAAAAAGGCTCGTCTACTTGACAAGCAAAACCGCTACCTGAATTAAGCCACCTGTTGAATTCAGGTATGCAAGGCTACCCCAGTTGGCAACTGTTCTCCTACCTAGAATTTTTTTTGTATGATCAACAAAAGGTAATTTGCACCTACGCCGCCCAACCGGAAGTCGACAAAACATCAATCTGTGAAAAAGCATTATAGTGGTTTCCTAGCACGTGTGTACTTTAAACATAAGAGGGCGACCTGGCACTGAGAAGTTTATTTCAGTGCGGGACAAAGTTCGCCTATTTAAATAATGATGCCTTTAAAGACAATGGAGATTTTACAGGATAAAGAATCTCGGCGCGTGGCAGCTGGGTTTATCAATCCAGCACAATATACAGAGAACAATAGCTAAGAGTGGGAGAAAAGCACTAACTTGACATTGCGCGGAATACAGCGAAACTAGCACGAGAAACAGAAAACTACAAAGAGACAGTTTTCGTTGCTTCACGTGGGTTCCTAGCGTCTTCTTGTTGCTAGGAATAATTAGGAATTTATTATAATTTGATTACAACTAAGCCATATTAAATATCGCCTTTGTTTATCTCATTCAAATTCGGCAGCTGTCTGGTTGAAAGATACAACTAGAGGCTCCTCTATTAAAGGTTTCGAGTTATTGAAAGGTTTCTTCATCTTCGACTCAGAGAGCCTGACAAAGGTACCTAGCGCTAGCTGATTCTGTTTAGGGAGGTGTGCTCCAAACTCATCTATCCAGTCTTTAAAAGAAATACTATTCTGTGACCTTAAGACAACCCATGGGTTGCAATAATTGGGCCAAATTTCTATTGTTCAGTTAGGGGCATTGTAACCTTAGAAAACAAAACCCACAGGTCAGGATCGTCTTACAAATTTTGAACTTGGTTAACAATCAGAGAAATGACTATCTTTCACATCAAGACTTCTTCCTCATAAAATTTGAACTTATCTATGAGGAAGTGGTCAATTGGCCGTCATCGAAAAAACATGGAAAAAAAATTAAAAAATTTCCACGCTGATCATGATAAGTGTCATCAAAAAGAAAGTCAAGTTCATGATTTCGAGGTTTCTCAATCTGAAATGAGGCAATCGTGTTTCATCAGTCCTACCCCATTATTCACAGTTGGTCTCTGTTCAATTTATCTTCGTAGTTATTGTTAACCCTTCTTAGCTGTATCCACTTGCCCTTGACATTTCGCAAAATTAAGGAAATTTGCATGTTCAATGAAGCTTAGAATAAAACGATTTGCTTCAAGCAAGGAAGGAACAAATTCGGGGTGACGCAAAACAGATCAAGACCTAAAAATTAAAGAATTTCCCGGCATTGTTAACCTCGTTTGAACAACGGCTTTGAATAGTAATAATTGTCTCAAACCATTTGCTGGTAGTTGTTTACAGAAGATTGCGCGCTTGATATTGCGTAAGAAGGCAGAGAAACAGGAAGCATTTACGTCGACAGGAGTAAACAACTTCAGCTTTCGTCAATGCCAGGCGATCGAGAAGAGGAAGATGAAAAAATATAACCACGCACTACAGAAATACAATCATAAAGGTAATTTTTATTAAATGATTCACCTCACGTCTGCGTGGCCTCACGTCATTTCAAGTTTCAAACAAAGCGATATAATAAAAGGTAGCATGTTTATCCAGTCCAGCTGAATTTCAACACCGGTTTGCCATACGTTCGATTAAAAACTTTCACCGTTTGCAAAAAAAAATATCCTTACTTAAAAAGAAGGGTGTAAGGAACACCTTTTCAACCTACAAAATTACTTTGTGAATATTCTGTGATGTCTAACATTAAAATTTACGATGAAATGCGTCTAAATCATCGACTATTCTCGTTCAAAAATATAAAATCAATGGTCGATTGGACAGCGTTTTTGTAAACTTCTCAGAATATGTCAAATACAATTGTCCGGGAACAAAAGTAATTGAAGAAACCTACTAGCTAATATAACATCATTGGAATTCTATTTTAAAATGTCCCCTACTGATTTTCCATTTATCGCACAGTTTTCGCCGCAGAAATCGACCGGCAAAGCCATTCTTTACAACTGACAGTAAAATTGCACGCGAACTCTCGCACAGTTGTCTCTTTCAACGCGTACCCACCGCGTTCGACTTCAAAAGAACATTGGATTTGTGGGTCTCGCTAGTTCTTTGCGGGATTTCAATCCGTGCGTTTTTGCGTGCTTCGAAAGATGATCACTTCTCATGAAACGCTTGCTGCAGATGCCACAAACGTAGCGTTTCTCCCCCGTATGCGTGCGATAATGCCGTGCGAGTTCGTCAGAGCGAGCAAATTTTTTCTCGCAGCCAGACCAAGTGCAATGAAACGGGCGTTCTCCCGTGTGCGTGCGGAGGTGTGCCTTTAGATGACTGCTCTTGCCGTATTTTTTATCGCAACCGTTGTAGTGGCAAGCGTGAATTTTCTTCTCTTGTTCACTTCTCCGGCGCGAATTTCGGCGCCGAGGCTTTTGTTTTGGTATCGTGAACAGTTCAGAGGGCGTGTCGTCATTACCGTATCCTGTAACGCCACCATTCTCGTTCGGGGTTACATCGGAGGCAAATTTTTCGCGCTCTGTTTCCTTAAAATGTACTCCGAAGCCGGCTCCTGCCTTCACGTTCGATGTCTGATTCGTAGTGTTCCCAAGACATGAATGTTTCTTTATCAGCGAGCACTCTTCTTCCATCGAAGCCAGGATTTTCGCGAACATCAACAAAGGAGACGATGGCGTGTTTTCAGAGTTCACCGGCGCGGGTTTCTTCGGAAAAATTTTTGACATGTCGAGTAAACAGCGCGCCGCAGAAAGTGTATCAAGAGCTACGCTCGGTGAAAAGAAAGCTTGAGCGGCCATCACGCTTCCAACTTCACAAATCGACGCTGTAAGACACCAGACAGGCACACGCAACCCCCAACAAAATTTCCGCAGAACTTTTCCTTTGGTGATTCTCCAGCAACAGGAACAATTTCAGTACCCAACAGAAGAAGGCGGCGTTTAAGGTGAGTGAAACGCAAGCAAGAACTCAAACCGATCAGATTTGCGCGACAAGGACTACAGCTCTTGACGCGAACCAGCGAAGAAGGTTATGACCAAATCATGTGCGTATTCCCCGAGTTTGAATATTTTCGAGTGACGGCAACAGCTGGATTGGGTTGAAAGTGGGTTTTGTTTCCGTTCACTGACAACAAAAGAACCGTTTCCGAGTTCGGGAGGCGTGGCCAACAAAATCCTGCTAAGCTAATTAATGCTAATTTCTGCACAGCCATTGGTCGCTACGTTCAATAACCAAAAAGTACACGTGCTGAAAGTGACAAACATAAATATATATATTTTTATTCTGATGACCTCTCGAGTGCCCTGGTTAAAATTTCGGAAATTCAAATTTCCTTTGTTAAGTTGCCCTTCAATGTATTGCGGACTTCGGGTTGCGTAGTAGCGGAAGACGGGCGCCGACTGAGCTTCATGTCCGTCGTGTTTGCCTCTCATTTACTTAGCGGATTTTCGTGCAAAACAATTTCGTTTACACCTCAAATAGAAGGCGTGAGTCACCGGTAACCCCCAGGGGAGACAAAAAAAACAAAGCAAAAAGAAAGGGAATTTGAAGTGGCTTAAACCTTTCCTTTGACAAATTCACGAAAAGTCACACAACTAATTAATCAATTTGATGACTTTTGGTGGGCTTCTGCAAAATTTCGAGTTAAAGTTGCTGGAGGTAGTTCACTAACTTTCCTGTCCCTTTTTGATTGGAAAAACCTCAAAATATGTCACGCCTACCTTGTTTATTATAATTGCCTTGCAGGTTAATACACACCTTGGCAACTAGAGAACGGATGTATCACCTGGTGCAGGTTGGTGCTTGGAGGGTGTAGCAGCTCCCCTTTTGTGTCGGCAACAAGGTAAATAGACCGCAGAAAATGTAATTCAACAGGCCGAGGAACAAATACAATTAAAAAGCGGAATGCGATCAAGTGCGAAATCCAAATGCACGTGGAGAGGCATTTTTTAAAGAATATCAAAAGATGGCAACTCTGCACGCGTCCTGTTACATAAGTGTCCAAGGCTAATCAATAGACGACGCGACTCTGAAAGGTCCAACCGAGTTCGATTTACCCAATTAACCTTTATTTCCTCTCAAAATAATTTGGGATCTAATGTGCTGTTAATCGAGCTTAATTCCAGGGTTTTTACACACATCAAAAACTCGATTAGTCCTACAAATTAAGCTTCGAATTAGGCCAGAGGCAATAAAAATAACAAGCGAACATCGCTGTAGGTAAAATTTGGGCGTCGACTGTTATCTTCAGAAGATAATAGTATCAATCAGTCTACCGCGCTTTGAGCATACATAAATTTGACAAAGTGCCAAAATGTCATAAATCCGCCCACTAGTTGTGCGTAGGGAAATTATTCGTTTTCTTTCCAACATTCACAAAGCTGCGTATCGGCCTCTTACAAACATCCCTCAATAAGATGCTTCATTTAGAAACTTTCACAATTACCCCGATCTCACAACCTTCGTATGCTCACCATCCCAACTCCTTGGGAGGGGGGGGGGGGGTAATTGAAAATGTTACGTCGCTAGGTTTCCGACACACCTATCCATCCATCACGTAAAGGCCAAGTTTATGCATTCAAATTCTACGTGTTTACAAATGTTTGCATCTACTCGACCTTTGACAGCGCAAACGACTGGAGCGTCAAACATGTCCTCCGCGGAAAACAAGGAGCATATATACTCGGGCTAGATCTCGAGTTCATGGGGCAATGATTTGGGGAGCAAGGAACCTTCGTAGAGTGTACACGCAAACCGAGACGATTGTTTCAATCAAAAAAAGTGTCAGCAAATTTGCACGTGAAACAGTTTAATCAACCGCGAAGCTCATTGAAGCTTCTTCATCTACACACCCTAATCGGCTTTCTTCAGGTAACTAGCCCCATAGCAATAGTTGTTGTTGCCTTTTATTTTTTTTTTTAAGTCAAGAAAGAGATACATGACTCAGAAAAAAAGAAAAAAAGAAAAAAAGATGCACGGTTCCCCATTGATGCATTCGTTGCGTGCACAATCGTTGACAATTGAAACGAAAGATTTCGTGATCATCCTGAGCAATAGTTGTTCCGGAAGTGACGTAGGTAACGAAAGCATTTTGAGGAAGCGTGACTGTTCGAAGAAATCAACTTACTCTGCCTTGTGCTGTTTTAAGATTTTTAAATGTTGTCTGAAACATCGGATATCAGCTCTCCGAATGGTTAGTGGAAAACTTCTTTTACGAGTGGATCCCAACCGAGAACTGCGAGACAGAAACATTTATTTGAGTCCCCCGGGATGAGGGAGATCTGTTGACACTAAAAGAGGAATTCCGCTTTTGCAGCGTCCTTAAATGATGAAGGGCCGCCAAAAATGTCTTCATATTGCTATAAATAGACGGGATCATTTCGTTTTTCTGAATAAAAAAGATGGATGTTTAAGATCGGAAATGATTGTCAATAGCTATTCTAATGGTGCCTAAATAGTAAACAAGGCTTTTGTTGTCTCAAATGGATCATACAATCCAGAATAGAGGCATTCTTTTCATTCCTCTGTCAAAATTTCACTCCGGCAAATGTCTGCAACATTCTCCACACGCGAATTAAAAAGAAAAATCGGCCACACCCTAGGGCTCTCAGATCCCGTCTCTGCAATTTTGGTTTCTTTTCCGCTGCTTGACGCATCTTTAAAATGACAACGACAACACATCGTTTGATATCGGGGCATAAGTTACTAACACTATATTCGTACTGAGAAAAAAACAAACTCTTGATAACCTTCTTCCCAAGGGATTTCCCTTCATAAATGATGTACTTGTACAACGGCAAGTCATGTCTTCTTCCTACGCATTTTCTCAATTTATTGTCTGCAAATCCAAAGATAATATCACGAAAAATCGAAATTGCACAAGCTTCACAACTCGACTAGAGCCCAAAAATGGGTATCAATGAACGGTGTCCGGTCTTTTCGTCCAAGTACTTTCGACCGAAGGTCTTTTCGTCCAAAAGTATTTTCACATAAGTCTGTTCGTTTACTTGTTAAGTCTTTCCTCGAAGCAAGCAAATAACTATTATATTATATTATATTATATCATAGATAAGGTTATATAAAGAACTTATCAGTGCGAGCCGTTGCCTTTTTGGTTCACCAATCTTCGTTTTACGAACACAGAGAATGAATGAAGTTGTAACGCAATATATTTTAATAAATAGCAGCAAAAATAAAGACTTGCTTGCCGTTTAATTATTTCACGCGAAAGAAATGGGAATATAATAGGCTTGATGTTAAGCGTCTATTGAGCGTAAAAGGCAACGAAGTGTAACATCACGTGTCTGACATACCCAATGGCGGCGGCTCACAACAAGTTCTTTATATAGCCTTATCTAGCCTTCTAAAAGTTATTTATTTACTTCGAGAAAAGACTTAACAAGTAAACGAACAAACTTAGGTGAAAAGACTTTTGGACGAAAAGACTTGGACGAAAAGACTTTTGGACGAAAAGACTTCTGGACGAAAAGACCGTACCACGAAGTGTGTGGGAAACATGACAAAATATAAATTGGTACATCGTACATACAGAGAGAGACTACCATCTCGTCTAGACAATTTACACGTCAGCTTCCCTACCGCTATCGCGTTCTGTTTGCGTGTGCTCTGCGTTTCGTGAGCGTTGACGTCACTGTGTTACATTTTCGATTCCGCTGAGATCTGGGGAAATGAATCGGGATTGCGTCCGGGGCGAGGAAGGTATCGCGCCCGAAGCGAGGTTAGGATCTCGCCCGGAATCACGCTGAGATCCCGCCCGTGGTCCCGCCGGAAATGGAAAGCGTTCTCGATGTCACAGAGTTTCCATTCCGTTTTAGATATTGTCAACTGCAGCAAAGTATTCGTAAAATATATCACATCACATTGAAAACAATTTAGTCTTTATGTTTAAGAAAATATTTAACACAAAATTTCCATTCCAAGAAAGCGAAATAAATGGGAATTAAAATAGTAATATTCTTTAGATGAAACATTGTCAAATACAACACTGTCCTTAAATAAAATTCTACATTCAGCGTTACTTGCATTAATAATACAACCACTATGCAAGACAATTTTTTAAAATAATGATGAATCGGGGTCCGCGGAGCGGATTTTCAAGTGGGGGGGGGGCTAATGCGAAAGCGTTAGCGTGAGCCAACTAGGGGGGTCCGGGGACATGCTTCACTTGGGAAAATTTGAAATTAAAGTCTTCTGAAATGGCTAGAAAATGGATCTAAAACTGCCAAAAGGGAAGTTAATTTTTAATTCTTATAAAACAACGAGTAACAAACTGGCCTTCACGTTTGACCAAATCTAAATGAATAGACTAACTTCTAAGTAAAAAAAAATAGTGATTTAATCAGCCAAAAAAGTAGGGGGGACTAAAGCCCCCCCAGCCCCACCCCCTGCACGGTTCCCGTGTATCTTATATAAGTCTACAACAAAACAAGAAATTTCTTTGTATATTTGACAGCTAAGAATGTATTCATCTGATAAGAAAGTGTACTTTTGGTGGGTTGAATTTCTAAATAAATATATATATTTGCATTATTGGTTTAAAATGTGCATGTACAAAAGCCCTATCCTATATTAAAAATATTGCTATTAGCAAACTATTGAAAAAAAAAATTCCTAGAGCAACAGAAACCAGTTTTGATATTCAAATTTTTAGCAGCATAATTTGCAGTTTATACAATAGGAATATTTCTTATTGGTAACCTTGCTAAAAACTAATTAATTGTCACAATTACAAGTATTTTTTAAATGAAGCTTTCAGAAACTGTTACTTAGCAGTAATACACAAGTAAATATTTTGAAATAAAAAAAATTAAACACTACTGGAATTTTCTTTTGTTTCGATGATTAAATTAAAACCATTCCTAGGTAAAATTTGGTGTAGAGTAGAAATTTTAAATTAATCTTAACAGGTTACCTTAGGATGCATTTTACCAGAATATTTCTATTTAGTTAATCACCATCTACTATTAAGTTAGGGATAAGTTGGAAATTTGCAAAACTTTTCTGTTGGGGAAAATATGAAACACTTTGAATAATTTTTTTCTGAAAATTTGTGGAAATTACTGTACTTAATTTACATGTACTCTTTTTCAAACATGTTCCTTGTTCCTATTGAGAATTTGTCTGTTCCCGCTTTAGGATTAGTTCAACTGCTTGGGCAATATTCTCCACAATGTGGTTTGCTCTCCTCAGGTGAGGATGATAATGAGTGTCACGATGTAAAAATTGAGCACCTTCTGTGGTTGAAGGCTGCTTGTCATTATTTTGAGTTGATACCCCAGTTCGTACAAGAATTGATTCCACTTTCCTAACTCCAGGTAACCAATTGAATGCATTCTGTTCCAGTTGAGCCGAGGACTTGCTTGGCTCATTTTCACCAGCATTAATACCTCCGCTAGCATTATCAAATACCTTTACATACTCATGACACAAATTAGCTCCATAAATGTCTGTATCAAGATTGTCACTAGAAATAAAAATAATTAGTAAATTGAGTAGAGAATAATACATGGGCAAGAATAGATATGGAATTTCTCTTCAAGTGTCCAAAACTATCTCAAGTGTGTGTGCAGCAAAAGAGTGAGAAATTGAGTTAAACTCTGGAAGAGAAATTCCTTCTCTATTTTTAAGCACTTACGGCCTTTACTTACAAGAAAATTTAACAACAACCTTGGATTGAGAATAGTGAATGCTTTGCCATTCATTCATTGGCCTTAACATTGTTCTCTTTACCTAGTAGAGCTTAATGTTACACCATGATGAATGTCTGTTTTCACTTACCCGACAGCATAGAGTGTTCTCAGATTGCCAGATGCTCCTCCATTGTTTTGATTCAGGCAGTGTTCTGCATACTGGTAACTTGTTAAGTACGGCTTTCCTAGATATGCTGAGTAAACCACTTCTTGACCTGTCAATTTCTGGAAACAAAAATATTACAATCTTTAAGGAGTATTTTTTAAAGCAAGCAAAAAAATAATATCATTATTCATATAACTCATAACTGTTACAGCCCAACTGTAGACTATCTGGTTCTCCTTAAACAATGGTCATCAACAAAAAGAAATATAGAACAAAAAGCAAATTTCTGGTGAGGTGGGAAATTTCTCTACTGCTTCATATCCTCTGGAAAAACATATGACTATGACTTCAACTATGACACTCAAGAATAAAAGTAACTAAGTTAAATTGAACAAACACCTTAAAGGCTAAAATGATGGAAAATCTTCTCACCTTATAAAGATTTTCCAAGCTAAGCAAAAAAGCACCATGTCCAAATCTGAAATTTTTACATGAAATCATAGGGTTACCATTTAAAATACTGCAATCAGTCCTGAAAAGTAATTAAGGTCTCTAATCTGTGAAAAATCATCACTCTTTTTGAGTACCTGGGTAATGAAACTTCTGCCATGTAGATTAAATCTGTGTTTGAAACAATTACAGGAATATGGGGGCCTGGTACAGACTGCACACTTGACAATGGGCTACCATTTGTAACTAGCATATCAATAATCAACTGAAGATTTGTTTCCCATCTCACTGGCTCTCCAAGCAAAACTATTGCTAAAAATAATGATAATGGAAAATAATGTTAGTAAATTACTTTACCTAATACAGATGAAAATTTGTTTTTTGTAACCTTGTTAGTTGTGGCCAGCTAAGGGTAAATTCAATTTTTTAGGGTTTCCATATTATAGTGCATCTTATGAAAAAGATACTTGTTAATTTTTAAATCTATTCTGGTTTGGAGCATCTACAACTGGGAAAGGGACATTGGTGAATCTTTAGGAAAATACAGGACCCACTTACACCTGATACAATTGACCAGCTATTCAAACAAAGTTAAGCTGTTGTTTAACAAAACTTCATTCTAAACTACTTTGAATTTAGCTGAATCTTTTATCTGAACATTTATTTTTGTGAACAGCGTCAGAAGTGGCCAAAAAGCTGATAGTGAATGTAAAGAAATGTACAGCCCTCTGCTGACATAAAACTGTAGTTTAGGTTAGACCTCATAAATAACTGGCCCAAAAAGTAAAAACATTTGTTATTAAAACAATTTAAAAAAAATTCAACTAATGTCCAAAAACAAAGACTTAGTGTAACGTCTCAGTATCAATTTACATAACTTGGCACAGAGTGAAATTCTGTATTCCTTTGAGAAAATTTTATCCCTATGATGAGTTGTACAAATTTAAATTGGTTTGAATTTCTGGATATGATTTAAGTGATGAAATGACTCACAGCAAACAATACTTGTTTAGGAAGCAATATGAATAAAGTAGCTTGACACAGCAACACTGATTTCTGTGCATTTTTCTCCTAAGTTAAAAGTTGTAATTTATTTTTTTCATAATTCCAGTGTAAAAAATAATTATGGAAAATGACATAAATAGCCTTCCTAACTGGGGAAGGTGAAAAAATAACCTACTCATATACATGCATGCCTTACAAATAAATTTGCATTTGAAACTTACCTTCAATGGGTGGAAATTCTTCAGGAGCTTTACCAAGCTGAAAAACAGAAGGAAAAATTTACTAAATTTCTTTGCTTATTTAAAATTTATTGAAAATGCTACATATTATAAGTTAAGGAAAATAAGTTACATAGTACAACTGTAAATTTATACACTTCCCAAATCTTTGAAACATTTTTCATGACAATCATTATATGATAACAGGGCTTGACACTAACTTTTCAATTAACTAGCCAAGTGGTTAATGACATCTTAGATGTTACGACAATTTCAGTTTATTTACTAGCCAAACTGGCCAGTGGAAATCAAAAACCACTAGCCAAAGCTGAATTTCTACTAGTCTGTGGCTTGTTGGCTACTATTCGTGTCAAGCCCTGAATAAGTTGTTCTTTCTTATAATCTCTTGGAGGACAAACCCATAGATGATGTCACATCATTTTGTCTTTAATTTATACCATAGAACAATTAGATTCTGGACTATTCCCATCATGGACACACTCCGTTGCACCTCATGTGCCACTTTTTTGTTCTGTCCAATTTTTGACATGGTCTGTAATCTATTGCTGAACAGATGCAAAGAAACATGTAATCTTCTTGTTAACCCTTTAACTACCACGAGTGACCAAGATAGATTTTCTCCTTACAGTAGCAATACAATGTCAAACAGACAAGTTATGAGAATAAAGAAAAATATCAATTAAGGGATTATTAGTTGATCCAATACTAAATTCTCCACACTTGCATCATAAGGATTAGCTCAATTGGTTAGAACGCCAGATTGTGTTGTGTGGGAGGTCGAGGGTTCGAGCCCCGGCCAGACCGATACTCATGGTCTTAAAATAAGTGAGGAGAATTTGCTACCTTTCTATAATGAAGAAATGGATAGATATCCTAGTCTTCTCGGATAAGGATGAATAAACCGTAGGCCTCGTCTCCTGCAGGGTTAGGGTTAGGAGATGTTAATTTCCCACGCACGAGAATATTGTGTTGTGGGTGTCCTCCCTTGGGGTGGGATGGGTGGGAATTGGCCCTGAAAAGCCCCCATGGGGAGTGGTCAACTAACGTATGTATGTAACCCAAC